AATTACTCTGAAAGCTTAACAGAAAAACGTGATGAAATCGATCTTTAACGAAAATTTCATGTTCATCATTAATTAATCATAGCTAAATATCGGAAGCTCATGAATGATTGATATATATATATATATATATATATATATATATATATATATATATATATGTGTGTGTGTGTGTGTGTGTGTGTGTGTGTGTGTGTGTATTTCAGGCTCATTTTACAAGTTATTTAAAATTATCTTTGCCTACTACATTATATATATATATATATATATATATATATATATATATATCTGATTATTGTATATATATATATATATCTCTATATATATATATATATATCTGATTATTAAATATATATATATATTATTATATATATATATATATATATATATATATATATATATATATATATATGATTATTATATTATTTCCCACCAATTTTGAAAAACAAAGTACATTGCAGACCTACGCAAGCATTCTTCAAACACTGAAAAACCTCACTCTCACGCTTTGAATATTCTCTTTGAATGCAATGGGAGAGAGATCAGTAGAGTGATGCAGCGAAGTCATAATTTCCAAAATTTTGTTCCCTTTTTAACTGTAAGTTATTTTGACATAATCTACAAGAAGGTTTTCGATTGTATTCATATTGAAAGGTAATTTGTTTTCCACTTATGCACAAACCAGATGGTAGAGCATGTCTAAAATCGAATCTTGGTTTTCTTAGCGTAACTTAGATGTGGCACAAGGCCGAATGTATGGGGCATCCACTGAGGGTAGAACTAACTGTTCAGTCGTAATTGATCTAGCGATACAATCTTGCTAACCATTACACCACGTCGGAGTTCTACTTTCCAAAATTCGAATGATACTGTTCTTTCTTCATGATTCCTTGGACCGAATCAAATCCACGGTCCCCCCCTTCGGCAAAAGACACCCACACTCCATGCTTAACTGTTGGAACCAAACTTTCATCATTGTCTTTCTCCGAGCTTTCTAACTACATACATTTATAGTGGGTTTTCAGTTATAGTGAAGTGTATGAGTGTTGAAACACATTAGTTTGATTTGGCCTTGTTAGTTAGATAGCCCACCATAAGAGGGGGTATAAAACAAGAAAATCAAATTGTAAAGTGAAACAACAAATTTATATGCATATAAATCAATTATATTCTTTACAAATAAAATTAATGTATTTTGGTTGATACAAGATCGTTAAAATGTTCGTAGTAATCCTTGCAAGAATGAGTTTATGTGTACGTACGTAGGAGCAAATGTGTCTATGTATACATATATGTATGAACGTTATCGAAGGGTAGGCATGTCTTTGAAGTAATCGCTCAGTCTTAAAATGTTCCGTTCATTTATCAAGTATAAAAGAGGCGAGGGAGAATGGTAGAGATAATAATAACGCTCGCTTGACGTTGTCAAGGGACTTGTTAATACGCTCGTCTCCTCTCTGGGGACAAGGGAACTTGCCCGTCTTTTATTTTGTTTGTGGGGCTTGAAAAGGTCATTTGGGAATTCATTCCAGGATATGATTCGGGCCTTTCCATTGGACGACGTGCAAATTACGCATTTTTTTTTTCTGGTGAAAGGAATTAAATTCTTCGATTCAACTCTGTGCCAGTTTCTAACAAACTTTGTAACGAATATTGCACGCCATGTCTATTAATCTTCAACTATTTAATAATTTATCTTTGAAAGTAGCCTTCTTTTAATAAAATTTCAATTTGTGCCCTCACCTCAGTGCGAAGCTGCTTTGATTTTGCCATTTTGTGCACATTACTTATTATATATGAATAAAGTGTCGCTGCCGACACTTGAGTTTGAACATAGATTACCAGTGAGCAAACCCAGGCGATCCCATTATTGAATTAAGTAGACCACGTGACCATAGAGAAACGCATATATAGGAAGTCGCGTGACGTTTAGATTGATCGCTATTCCTAGTCTATTCTCTATTACTATTCGGATCTGCATTTCTATTCTATTCTCTAATACTATTCGGATCGCTATTTCTAGTCTATCCTCTATCACTATTCGGATCTGCATTTATTCGGATCGCTATTTCTAGTCTATCCTCTATCACTATTCGGATCTGCATTTCTATTCTATCCTCTAATACTATTCGGATCGCTATTTCTAGTCTATCCTCTATCACTATTCGGATCTGCATTTCTATTCTATCCTCTAATACTATTCGGATCGCTATTTCTAGTCTATCCTCTATCACTATTCGGATCTGCATTCTATTCTATCCTCTATACTATTCGGATCGCTATTTCTAGTATCTCTATTTCTGCATTTCTATTCTATCCTCTAATACTATTCGGATCGCTTTTCTAGTCTATCCTCTATCATTTTATTTCTATTCTATCCTCTAATACTATTCGGATCGCTATTTCTAGTCTATCCTCTATTACTATAAAGACTGCTATTCTCTATTCTATTCAATATACTATTTCTCTTTTCGGATTTTGCCATTTTGTGCACATTATTTGTTCTATAGAAATAAAGTGTCGCTGCCGGCCCTTGAGTTGGAACATAGATGACCAGTGAGTAGTCACAGGCGGTGCGATCCCATTAGTGAATTAAGTAGACCACGTGAACATAGAGAAAACACGTATATGGGAGGTATCGCGTGTCTAATTGATCGTTATTTCTATTCTATCCTCTATTACTATTCGGATCGCTATTTCTCCTCTATCCTCTATTACTATACGGACTGGTATTCACTATACTATTTCACAATTCTGATCACTATACGGATTACTATTCGAGCGAGTATTATAGAGCAAGTACTAATGTTGCGAAATCAATCGAAGGCGCCTGCCACCAGTATTATTCAACGGCGTTACAATAAGTTGTATCTGCGATTACAAAGTCTCTACTACAACGAGTATTAAAGTGACAAGGAGTATTCGTTGGCATTAGAAAAGTGGCAATGAGTGTTTGCTGACATCACAAAATTACTTCAAAATTACTTCAAAATTAAAAAACATGTATATAGAAAGAATTTATATAAGGACTGTCGTAATGGCATAATCTTTTTTTTTCTTTGAACAGCTACATATTTACAACGTGTTTAAACATTATTTAGTGTTGAGGTAACATTTAGAGGTTATATCATCATAGAACTTAGTTGAAAAGTCGACTGAGGGGTTAATTGTGGTAAACAAAAAATAACGTTTCACATACAAAATAATCATAACAGAACGAAATTTACTGTGGGCGGATGAATCCAAATTATATATATACTACACGCAAAATATTTAAGGCCATCTATATATATATATATATATATATATATATATATATATATATATATATATATATACTACACGTAAAATATTTAAGGCCATCCTGATTTTACCTTTATAATGAGGTATTTTGAATTTTTTTATGTAAAAGATAAAATTTCAGTTTATTTGCTTTTATTTTTCAATCTTTCTCCAGACTACTCTTATTATCAAAATTTTAAAATTTGGATTCATCCGCCCACAGTAAATTTCGTTCTGTTATGAATAAATAAATATTTGACATAAATTTTACGTGTAGTATATATATATATATATATATATATATATATATATATATATATATATATATATATATATCCTGAAAAATATTTAAGGCCATCCTGATTTTATTTTATATATATATATATATATATATATATATATATATATATATAGATAGATAGATAGATAAATAGATAGACAGATTGAGAGAGAGAGATAGAGACATAGATAGTTGTGTATTTTGGCAGCAATCCCTATTTTATACAAGTTTCCTTATTTTACATTACAAAATTGTACTTGGATTATACGAAAATTACTTATATTATAATACATGTTACTCATAATACATTCGTTCTTGTCGCCATTTTTGACGGCACGGATACACTAGTTGTGATATAATGCACAAACATTGCTTAGAATTACATAGAAAGGAAATTGTGAAGAGCCAGTGAAATAGCCGAAGAGAACTTCCAAAAGCTCAGAATAGGATTATGAAACAAGTAAAATTCGTTAGAAAACAGGAAATGCATTTTCAGCTGCTGCGTAGTAAGAACCCTTCTATATGACAGTGAATACTGGATAATTTCCCCACAAATGGAAAAGAGACATGGGGCAACAGAACTATAGCTCTACAAAAGGGTGCAGAGGATACCATAAACTGAACTGCAATTAAAAAGTTTTAAAGAAAACGGAAACAAAACGGACACTTATACTTAGAACCAGAAAGAAAAGGATGAAATTTGTCGGGCACGTAATGAGAAAAGATAATTTAGAGAAATTAACACTCAGAAGACACACTAAAGTGACAAAACAAAGTCGTAAATAGACTACCTAATGAGCTTTTAAAATTTTTGGCAAAACAGCGATGAGGAAAAATAGCAAAAAAATGTACTTCACTAAGAGCTACAAAGGACAAGTAATTGATCGCACATACCGTAAAGTGACACGCCACATATAAGATGAATTAAGTTTAATTAAATGATGAAAATTCGAAGTTAAAATGTGATGATTGTAGTAATCTTTGAAATTCGATGATCGAGATCATGGAATTTAATTGTGCATGAACCTCATTTGGTGCTCTTGCAGGGGCATATCACCCATTAACAAAGTATATATCTCATTCTTCGATGAATTTTCTTTACCAAAGACTTGTTTGTTATTTTATCTCCTCCTATATTTATTTATTTATTCATTGCTTAGGTCTGCACGTAACATTGCCGTAGTCAAAACCCAACTTGATTTGGCGCAGAAGGACATTACAGCAAATGTGCATCGGTATGATGTGTTGATGTTAACTTTCATAAGGAATGAATCTGCTCTGACACACCCTTTTTTTATCCACTCACCCACACCAAGACTGAAGGAATGTGTGATAAGTTAACCATTAAAAGCTGAGTTGTAATTAATCAAAATCTCATTTCTTAAACGAGAGAAAAGGTAAAAATTTAACTTCGAAAGTCATTTTGACAATCTATCTAGCTATGTTAGTCTCTTCATATCTATCTATCAATCCCAGTCTGTTCATTATCTATCTATCTATCTATCTATCTATCTATCTATCTATCTATCTATCTATCTATCCCAGTCTGTACATATCTATCTATCTAAATATAAAATAGAATTCGGTGAGTACTGGTGGTAATAAAAGTATTCGAACTAAAACAACATAGCTAAAATTTATACTAATAGTTAATATACGTTATACTAAAATTATATTTATATCTATCTATCTATCTATCTATCTATCTATCTATCTATCTATCTATCTATCTCTCTCTCTCTCTCTCTCTATATATATATATATATATATATATATATATATATATATATATATATTATATATATTGTTCTTCATCGTTTCATGCATATCTGTTTCATGCAAGTGGCAATCGCCAGGCACCTATTGAAATCTATCTATCTCAAAATATCAAATTTGTCTGGAATTGTAAATTAAGTAAATCAATTTCTAAAGAATTCATTCTTAGCATTGCTTGATAATGTAACGGAACTTTATATTTTAAGTTTAAATTTTATGATTGAATTTAAATTGAAGTTTCAGTTGTGAAACATAGGAATTTCGATGTTGCGATGATAATATATTTAAAAAAAAAACAATTATAATATTATGCTCTACTGATGCATCAAGCACTGTTTTTTTAAAAATAAAAATAAATGATAAGAACTTTGAATTATAAATCTCATTGTTCTTCACTATTATTTTTTATATATATATATATATATATATATATATATATATATATATATATATATATATATATATAGTGTGTGTGTGTATATGTGTGTGTGTGATGGGGTGTAATTATATTTTCAGATACAGTGTATCTGTAAAGAAACAAAATGAATAAAGACAATAGGAAAAACTATTCGTATCCGGTGCATTTCGTCTTCAAGGGGACTTTATTAAGGCAATGATAGAATCCCTCCGAAGATAAAACGTGTCTCTAAGAATAGTTTGTTTTTCCTCTTATCTCTTCTTATTGATATATATATATATATATATATATATATATATATATATATAAAGTCTTTCAGGTGTATTATATTTATGGGATCCCAATATGTGAGTTAGAGCGTGTGTAAATATAAAATTGAATATTGAACTCTTAGAGGCGACAGGCTTTCATTCTAGACGCAATCGACAGGCCTGACGATTGCGTCTAGGATGAAAACTGCCAGTCGCCTTTAAGTGTGGACTTCAATGTTCACTTATATATATATATATATATATATATATATATATATATATATATATATATATATATAATAAATATATATTTCTCGTCTGTATATCGCACATTGTTTAAGCTGGTGCTTTATAAAATTGTCTTGCATGATGAATGTATAATAGCAGAGCAAATAATTATAATATAATATATTTTCGTCTGTAGCATAATATATATCCTATATATATAATATATTTAAGATTGGAGGGTCCGACAATTTAATCAAAGACATTTTGACGATTTTATAGCATCTTGCATGACATTCCGAATTGTGCTAATGTTGAGAAATATATATATATATATATATATATATATATATGTATGATACCACTCGAAATTATTAGACAAGGTCAAATATATATATATATATATATATATATATATATATATATATATATATATATATATATATATATAAAGAGAGAGAGAGAGAGGGAAAGTGTGTGAGAGAGTAAGAGTTGTATTTGTATCTTACGTCGTTATTTTTTGCTATTAAAAACTCATTGTTTTTAGAGAGGGTTTTCGACTCCATCAGTGCATAATATTATAAGTGATTTTTGTACCAAAGATTTTTTTTCAATCTTTTTGTCTGTTTACTTCTCTTATTTTTTATTTTGTCTCTCTCTTTCTTTCTCTCTTTTTTATTATTTTTTTTCTTTTCTCTATTTCTACCTGTTTTCTTTTTACCATTTTCTATTTTCTGTTTTCATTTACTTTTCTTATTCTTTGTTTCTTTCTTTGTTTACCATTTATTTATTTTTCTTTCCCGTCGTTATGATTATTAAAGAACTCTTTCTTTTCCTTCTATGCTATCTTTCAATCATCCTCTCCATATAAATGTCCTTCTTCATTTTTTTCTTCCTTGTTTAACTTTTTCGTTCTCATGTTTTTTGTTGTTTTTTTTTCATCAGTTCTTCCTCGATGCTTATATTTCGTTATTCGTTCTTTCATCCATTTTTCTTTCTTTTCTTTTTTTCTTTTTCTTTTACTTTCAAGTGTTTTATCTTTCTTTTTTTCTCTTTCTTTTTTTTTTCCTTCTCTCCTGGTTTTCTTTCTTTTTTTTGTACTTCTTTCGTTTCATTGCAATTTATATATCTTCTTGCCCAACTTTTCTTTCTGGTAATTGTCTTTCCTGCTTTTCATTCGCTTATCGCTTCGTTCCTTCATTTCTTTTCTTTTGTCCTTTGCTGTTTACTTCAACTCAAGGCACATTTTCAAAACTTCTATTCTGCACTTTCAATATTTTTTTTTATGCTGACGTTCAGCTCCATACACGGGTTCTCTCCGTGCATCGACTAAAATGAAGAAAAAATAATGAAGGAAAAAATAAAGACTCGGCAAAACAAGTCAAGAAAATTATTTCTTTCCTTTCGTCTGCTCTTTGTTTACTTCCAAACCTCCCGTCCCGTAACCAATTCTTAAACGCCCCTACCTTTCCCGTTCTTCGGTCGTGGCCCAACCTTAAATAAACCTGACTAACAACTTTGCTGGGTCATCCTAACCAGTTTTCTTCGAAATAAAAGAATGGAAGAATTGGCGAGGAATTTTTGTGGCAGGGACGAATATTCGCAACTGATGACATGCGCATTAATGTGCACGCAAATATTTCCGGCGGGTTGTTAATACACAATATCAATACCTTCCGCCAACTCTTCACGATGCGGGACTATTCTTTTTTTTTTTTTTTTTCCTATTTTCTTTCTTTCTTTCTTTCTTTCTTTCTTTCTTTTGTTTCACCCACTTCCCCCTTTCTTTTCATTTTATTCTATCGTCTTTCTTTCTGAGTGTAGTGCAACGTCGTTTTCTCCGAGCCCTCCCTCTCTCTATTGTTCTTTCCTTCTCTTTTTCGCTCAGCGTGTTGCTGTTACCCACCATCTCGATGCGGAACGATAAAGTTTTTTTTATTTTTATTTTTATTTTTTTTATCGATACCTTTCTTTCTTTCTTTCTTTCTTTCTTTCTTTCTTTCTTTCTTTGTCTTCCCTCCTTCTTTCTTTCTTTCTTTAATTTATCTCTCCGTCTCTATCTCTCTTTCTTTTTTTTTTTGTTAGAAGATTTGTATTTTATCAGTCTTCTCTCTCCCTGTCTCTCTCTCTTCCACTCTCTCTTTCTTTGTCTTTCTCAATGTATTGCACTCTTTCTCTTAATTTTCCCTTCCCTCTATATATTTATAACTTTCCATTTCTCTCCCTATAATTAGAACGCTTGTTTTGTTGTTACACAGCCGTGAATGTAACATGGCATTTTATTCGTTCATTTTTTGTTTAATTTCCTCCTCATTCTGTTACTGTCTTCCTTCCTCATCCATGTTTTGCGTTTTTTTAAATTTTATTTTGTTTGTTTTGTATTTGGTTTCTATTCTCTATTTTCCTCTTTCCGAAAAGACATAGCTCTGCCATTTTTTTCTTTCCCTCCTTCACTTTTAAAAGTCTCCTTCATTTTACTTATTCATCAAACTCCTTTTTTTTCTTTTTTTTAAACTAAAGTTCACGCCATTTGTCAGCAACTCCATCACGATGAAGACATCGTTTATCGCAACACACAGATTAGTAAAGATTATCTCACAAGACGTCTGCAATGAATTGACTTCGCACTAGGTGTTCCATGATGTTAGCATTGTGTGAACACAAGCAACGTGAATTAAATGTCTATTCGTTGTCCAGGTTATTCTTGACATTTCCCGTTAGTCGATTCTAATAATAGTTTTAACAACACCACAATACTTGTATAATTTCATGACTTTTCATTTAAAAAAATATTTGAGAAATAAAAGCGTATGTATGCAAATACTGCAGTTAAGTTCTACATAACTACGACTGGAAGAGCTCTCACCGTGAGGTAACGTGCAATGAGCTAGCCCAAGGGATAATTTCTACCATAAAGTGAGGTCAGGGGTCACTAGGTTCCCTCGACGTCTGGTTTAATAGATAGCTTTTTACTTTTCGTTTTTTTTTGTTTTTTTTTAAAGTAATGTTGACTCTGTACAAGCCCATGGGTCACTCGAGATAGACGGTTACGTTAAGGCGTAGTTTATAAACGATGGAGTAATAGATAGCGGCTCTGATTGAGGAATCGGAGGGCTGAGTTCAAATTCCAGTCGAATCCATCACATTCACTTATGTGCTAATACCCTTGGGTATTAGCACGTAAGGTACGAATCCCCTTCTTCTCCCCCCATCTATGGGTAAATAACAGGACAGACTGGATTCTATAGCCTATAGCCGAGTTCAAATTCCAGTCGAATCCATTACATTCACTTACGTGCTAATACCCTTGGGAAAGGTATGAATACTCTTCTTCTCCCACCAGCTATGGGTAAAATAGCAGGACAGGCCGGATGGCAACTGGTCTACTTCAGAAAGAAATGGCAACCTATTTTGGGAAAAAAAAATCTGCATCTTTAACCATGTATTGAAAGATACATGATCGCCTAAGCGTGTATCACGCATGGCATATAACTCAATAAAATTCACTTACGTGCTCATACCCTTGGGAAAGTAATGAATCCTCCTCTTCTTCACCACCAGCTATGTGTAAATAGCAGGAGAGATCGGGTTCTATAACCTTGGATGGCAAATGGTCTACCGTAGAAATGAATGGCAACCTACTGTGGCAAATAATCTGCCTAGTCAGTCATGTATCGAAAGATACATGATCGCCTAAGCGTGTTTCACACATGGCACTTGACTTTATAAAGATAGGAGGGGAAGATATCGGTTAACTCTAGTCTTGAACAGGTTGAGAATTTAGCGATCGGGGAAACATTCTCTTGGGAGTATGTTCCCCAGGGCAGTGGTTCGTGTGCAGAGCTTATTTCTCGCTGATGGAACACGGAGAGAATCTGGGCGGTTTGCTACTATGTAAGTGGCATGGCGGTTTCTAGCTGAGGAATAGATAGTGCAGTGAAAGACTTGCCATATTCCGCCTGTGTGAGAGAAGTAGGAAGATCGAAAATATTTCTCTCCCAAAAAAGGACCCGGAAACGTTTTGAAACTCTATGAAGACTATGAAGTGAGGACTGGTGTACTCCTGCCCAAATGTGGCAAAGGTACTCCATTTCCCGCCTGATCTGGCTCTTATAAATGTAGAGGATAGCATGAGAAACCAGGTTTTTGCTGGGGCGCTACAAGGAGCCGATCACTTTACATGATTGATTGATTCATTTTTTACGACTTATCAACCCTTTTCAGGTTATTTAAAGCAGAAAATATATTTAGATTGTAAGTATTTTTTAAGATAATCATGATATAGTGATACAAGTATTAATAAGTAATCCATAGTTAAGGGAAAAAGAAGAACTTGTTTCATATTCATACATATAAGCCACTCAACAGTAATTCGAACTCGGCTCTCCGATTAAAAATTCTACACCATTATCCATTATACCATCCTCAATTCCAAGCTTACAGCGCCAAGTATGCCCAAACCTTTACCAATCTAGGCACTGACCAGGCCGGATGTTGCTTAACTTCAGTAATCGGAGGGCAACAGGTGTTTCAACGTGTTGCGGTCGTAAGTTCCACAGTTACGGCTAGAATTAAGATGCGTCGTTGGTTGTAATGGATAACGATTTGGAAGGTGAATTAGGGGTGCCGAGTTCGAATTCCTTCCATTTACACTTAAATTTATCTTGGAAATCTATGGAATCGAAAGTTTCTTCCTCACCGCTATGGTTTAAATAGCAGCGAAAACCGGTCACTCTGTTAAATAATCCTTTAGCAGATTACTATTTTAGGAGAAAGTGTTGCTCAGCTCCGGCTTCCGGAGGTTGACCTTCGGTGTCAGATGTAATACATAATAAGGAAGTTGATTTTGATTTGCTGATCATCGTGGGAATTATAGATAGAGAAAGGCTTTTTCAGCGAGTTGTTTCTTGAACGTCAAGTGATGTAGGTGTGTTCTCTTTCAGGTCTGAAACGGTTCGCCAGTGAGTTAGGGAAACGACCGACACTGGGTGACGAGTATATGTCGACGTTAATAAAAAGAGATAAGTTAAAATTCTTTGTATTGAAGTCTTTCATTACCGAAGTGAAACGATTGGCGATCGCCAGCCAAGAGAAAAAGCAGAACTGACATCCTTTACTATTGTCAACATGCAATAATTCTAGCCTTGATTGGAGGCCAATCTAGAAGAAGTAAAACCCTGAATTAAAACAAACATATCAAGCAATGACGATATAAAGAAACATACTGTTGTAAACAAAGTCGAAAGTAAAAGTACATAGAGTTTGGATCATAAATAAAAAAGATTTGCTTGTTGCATATTAGGTTGAATCAATACAATCGAAATTGTATGGAGATTTTTCCACAGGAAACCACTAATTACTACGAAGTTCGCTACGGCCACATACGCAAAGTAGACTTATTTTCATTACTTTCAAATCCGATTGTTAAGGATGAAGTACCACTCAAACAGCTCCTTCCCTCGGAAATATTCATCATTATCATCTTTCGACTTCCCTATGGTTGGTCGGAAGTCCATTAACAATACCTTACGACACTGTTCGGTCATGCATAGCTGTCCACCAGATCCCCAATGTCCAACTATGAGTCCCGACCTATAGTTTCTAGGAAAGTCAAATTCCCTGAGAAGACACTTCCAGAAGGATGACACGGAAGTAAGAATGAAACATTTTCCCTCTTCGCTTGGTGACAGTGGCCGGCAAAAGTGTAATCGTTTTTGTTTGAACTTAAGAAAAATTGGTCTCTGTTCACTGTAAATTGTGTTAAGTGTTGCATGGAATCTCCAAATGATGAACTAGATTTTTCTAATTAGATTTGTATATGTTCCATCCATTCGTCTTTCAAGACGAATAGATAATGTCCAAGTTTCGGATCCATACTTTAAGACAGGTTCAATCAATGTTCGAAAAGTTTGAACTTTTAAGAAGATGGGAATGTTCGAGGACCAAATTTTTGGAAGTTTGTTACACGCATCCCATGTTGAAGCATTAAATATTTCGTGGTTAACAGACTCCCGAAAAGACGCTTCTACCATAACAACGATCTTAACTTCTTCAAGTTTAGACGTAGGCTTTGTATATCCTACATATGCAAATAATGCGTGCATCTTACTCACTTTTTGCAAGCGCTTGCAACAACCTCATTCAGTAACGCTCTAGTTTGAGGGACGCTTAGAACTTAGCATAAAAACTGAAGTGTGAATAGCTGCCGACCTCTTGAAATTTGTTATAAAAATAAGACAGGTAGAAATCCGACTCATTTTCGTCTTACGATTTTGATGAAAACATTTATGCGAATAAAAATGTGCTCAAGATGCCTGAAATATACGGAAATACATAGACTGGGATATTTTACAAATTATATTTTAGGATATATATATATATATATATATATATATATATATATATATATATATATATATATATATATATATATATATATATATATATATATATATATATATATATTTCTGATTTAAAAATATATATATATATATTATATATCATTTTATATGTGATTAAATAGAAAAAAACAGCAGATATTTTTATAGGAACAGAATTAAAACAAAATAATTTGATAAATTGTGTAACAAATACATTTTGTTTTCATAAATATATATATATATATATATATATATATATATATATATATCCAAGTATATAATTGGTATATACGGAATGAATTCCAATAACCAACAATTACTATTCTTAAAAGAGTGCTCAATACAAAGTATAGCAGATATAATTATTATTTATAAAAATTTATAACATAAGATTTATTTTATTTTCAACATCATCACTTGATAAGACACAGAGTGTGTTGAAACAAAATGGCTATTTTTGTAGTGATTTTATAACATACTTATGTTATAATTTTTTTATAAATAATATATATATATATATATATATATATATATATATATATTGAATTTCTGCAACTTTCCTCGGTGCATCGTAAAAAAGAATATTCGTGGCAGTTTCTTTTATATATACCCGCTTCAGAATTATCATTATTACTAGGAGCCATACCCAGCTGGTCGATCCAAAAAATCGTTCAATTAGAATGGAGCAAAAACAGCATCATGTTTAGATGTAACAGAATCTATCTTCTTCAATTACTTTAAAGTTCTTTCATTAAAAAATATTTTGAATTAATGCATTTACTGATATAACAGAAGTAGTCTGTATTTATTCAATCAAATTACTCAAGGAGATGAAGGGGTAAAACAAGCAACAT